GGACCAAGAGAAAGTACTAGATATATTCAGTCAGTCACGACGTACAACTTCGTACATGAGTACATAAGTTCAGGTTGACATACCTACATTCAACACAGAGACGCAACTGTCAGTTCAAATCCAAGAGTGATAGCGATAGTAGAAGTATTAGCAGTAATGGAGAAGATTAGGGAGCGAAGATATGATTCAAGAAGTATAATTCAGTGAAATAAATTTAGAAAGAGAAAGATAGAGATTATGAGGAATTCAGGAGGTTAGAATTTGAGAGAACACAACGAACGAATGCATCTGCGCCATTGCGAACGATTTTGAGTCATGTTGTTCAAGGTCTTTAACCGTCTGTTACTTTCGTCTCCGATAGTTTGTTGATAATTAGTGGGGCTATTGTTTGATCCTGTAATAAAATAAATTTTTGACTACTTGAAATCTTAGCTAGATCACTTTTGAAAAGCTAGAAACAGTGGATAGCTGTTTCGTCGTGGATAGGATCAACTCGTGAAAATATACTGCAAACTCTACAAATCCCCTATTCTAATAGTAAAATAAATTTTCATGAATGGACAGAGAGAGAGAGATTTCACAGTGAACAATACATGATACAATGAAGTATATCACATTTAATATATATTCCAAATACAAAATTACCTGGATATGACAGAATCTTTGAAAAAACTATTACGACTTGGTAAACGACAGAGCTGTTGATTGATTGATGTCGATGAGGTATCAAAGCCTAGAAGAGATGAATTAGGCATACTTTTTACAGAGGTCAAATGATCAACATCTGACTTTAGTTTCATGTTTGATTGTATTTGGTTCTTTTTGTTTGTCGATTTAACCGATAATGATTTTGATGATTTAATTGATATTGTTAAAGAATTACTGTTTACAACATCTGATTTTGATTGGAATGTGATCATATTGTTAGTCTACAAATAAAATAAAATAAGTAGATAACAATTTTTGGTCATACAATGGAAATAAGAAAAAAAACCATTGAAGTGATTGCAAGTAATTGAGGCCAAAGTCGAGTAAAGCAACGAGCTTCAATGAAATCGCTGCGACGAATTACTAGTTAATTAATTTCAAATCAATCAGAAAACAGCTTGAGTGGAATGGATATTTTATGGAAAAGAAAGCAACAATACCAACGAGGATATAAACAGATTTTATATACAGTTTTCCCAGGTTATTCTGCCTGTAAATCGAAAAAGAAGCAGAGACATATGAACTGGTTCTTAAGGGTATAGATTATTTGTCATTTCAGGTCAGTTAATCAATTACAACGTAGAACTTCGTACGTACGTACATCATTTCAGGTTGCCATACCACATTAGTACAGAGATATAATTGTCGATTCAAATCCCATAATAGTAGAGGTAGTTAAAGTATTAGAAGTAATCGGAGAGATTAGGCTTCGAATATGTTATTCAAGAAATATGATTCAGTGAAATAAATTTAAGAGAGAAATAAAGGTGATGAGGAATTGAAAAGATTAGAATTTCCGAGAACACAAAGAATGGGTGCATCTCCGTAATTGCATACCATTTTGAGCTTTGTCATTCAAGGTCTCTAACCATCAGCTACCATCATCTGGCCGACCCCAATCAGGTAGTTGACACCTACCGACATGACTCAGTGTACTTGTCAGTGAGTTCATGGATTTGTACCATGTTCTGGTCTGGCCGCCCTTAGCTTTCGTCCAACCTATTCATACATCGTAAAACATAGCTCGACGAGGTAGTCGGTGATCAAGAACACATGTCCCAACCATCTCAACTGATGAAGTTTCAATACTTTATTTCTTGATCTGCCATCCCTACCTAGTACTCGTTTTCTAACAACAGTATTGCTAACTCGGTTGACCCAGGATACACGATCAACGCACCGAAGACATCTATAATCGGATACTAGTAACCTACGAATATCCTGCTACTATATGTTTCGCATCCATATAGTAGGCCGGAAAGAACTGCTGTGTAGTAGACTCATAGTACCCTTCCATCCTTCCGCGGTGTGGGCAGCCAGGACGTGACATCCGCCCTCATACCCGTAACAACACACGAGACCAAATCGGTCACAATCAAATTCTCCCTACACCCCCGAACATCTCTCTTATCTCCACGACTCACCCATCTCACATCACGCTGCACCGCTAATCTGTCATCTCAAACACATTATTTTCAGTGTCCACATTAATTGCTGATCAGGTCAGGTAATTAGGTTCAGAATTTTCATTACAAGTAGTTAACAATTAGGATGAAGGAATAAGTTATCGATTTGTCTATGGCATAACAATTTGCACAAAAAGAATTGACACATTTAATGCGCCTAACATCATTGCTTCGAATCTATGGTAACGAAAGTAACGATCCACATACAAACGTAATTCTACTTCACATTGTACGAATGATAACTGAATTTTGCACACAATCCCTAACTTTTTATATTTTCGATTAAGAAATTGCTTGTCCCTCCTCTAGATTATATTTCGAACTGATATCAACTCTAATATTTCATAAGTCATTTCTTATCCTGCTATAATTAAACATATTAATCCAGACATTTCAATATTTTTGAACTACACTTCATATGAAAATTTATTGTATAATGAGGGATTATAAATCCACTCTTTACTGTTTAAAGTAAAGCGAAAAATAAAATTGTAAAACGCAAAAATTTAGATTTGCAATTCAATAAAAATTGAATGCTTAAAAGTTCAATGAAAACTCTTGATAAATTATAACCATTTACGAATAAGTTATCTACTGGATTTGGGATTATTTTGTTAGCTTAATTATGTATATATATATATTTTTTTATATACTTTAGAAACAGTTAGCTACAATTTACTATTCTCAGTGAAATAATTATTTACAAGAGTTCATTCGGGTCACACACATTCAATCGTAAACACCAAGTTATTATAAGTCGTAAAAATAAATTATTGATAATAATAGGGCAGAAGATTGCACAACATAAACATTTGACCTTGAAATCATGAGTGAATCATCGTTGGACCACCATGAGACATATGGAAGCATAGCAGACAGCCGTTTCGTCCTGGTTTCGGACACATCAGTGGCAGTACGTATCTATCACTCGTGCACCTCGCAGGATTCGAACCTAAGACCTTCAGTCTTGCGCACGAACGCTTAACCTTCGTACAACTGAACTGGCATTCAAAGGTGTTAATATCTAACTCTGATCAATCTATGGATTGTGCGAAACATAATCCATTGTCTTCGACAAATACTGCCTACATCCAACAGGGTTGAATTCTACTGGCCACTTATTTTCACTAGAACTTCGAGAACCTCATGAAACTAGCCACTAGTGAGCACATTTTGTTATTTCGCATTAGAGTACATTTTTTTTAAAAATTTAAAAAAATCGAATACGCTTTAAACTAACTACTACACCATTTTCAATATTGTATTCATTAGAAATTTAATTATACTACTGACCTGTTGATTTTCACTGCTTTGTTCATCAGACAATTGATGATGAGTAGTTTCATTAACCACTTGTGATGATAATTCTTGTGGGTTTATAGTGGAAGATTCCGATAACGGTGATTCCTTGACTGATTGGAGAGGACGACTGGATAGAAATAATAATAATAATAATAATAATAATAATAATAATCAAAGCTGAAATATTAGGGTGGGACAGATATTTTTTTACAGTCAATGAAAAATTAACTAATTATGTACATCATATTAGGAGAGTAAAAAAACAAATGGATCCAATTAAACTTCATCGTAACATGAAATTTTTTTAAATTGATTACGACTAGTTCATCATAAGAAAGGCTTTTCAACATAGTAGTCTTCAGAGTTACTGGGCATCACATTAGAAAGAAGTATGTTTATTCATGAATCAGTCGATTTGTAAAATAGAATTCGAATAACAACATTGCAACGTAATCGATCGATCAAATTAGTATAGAAATGAGCATGCATAAAACGATCGGGCAGTTTTGTCTTTCAAAATAATCGTTAATGTGACTGACATTCGAAAAAACTGACAACTAAGAATCAACGAATATTTACAAAGTTCATGCTTTATTAAAAAAATACTAATTGTGATCAGCTTTCGTACTGCACTGAACAATTGAATAAATATGACTGAACCATTATATATATATATATATATATATATATATATCAGTTTCGCAAACGGAACAGCTCAATAGTAGCGTCACAAACTGTTAAAGTTAAATAACACTAAATCAACTCTCACAAATACACCTCTCATTGACGAGTAGTACTTAAGTCTTCAAGAAGCATGCAACATATATGAGTTTTATAACATTGAATGTTTTTGGTACATGAACATTCTCTAGGTATAAACCGTTTAAAAATTACTGAATCACATATTACGAGAGATTGGCAAACAAACTAGATGACAGTATTTAACCACGACGCTAAAAAAAACAGTATGGATAATTGTTTTCCTATGATATAAGACACTAGATTTCTCAACAGTCAGTCAGTTACAACGTGGAACTTTGTATGCGTACGTACATTAGTTTAAGTTGCCATACCACATTAGCACAGAAATGCAATTGTCAATTTAAATCACATAGTGATAGAATTAGTAGAAGTATTAGCGTTAGTTGAGAAGATTAGGGTTCAACGACAATATTCAAGAAGTAGAATCTAGTGAAATAAACTTAAAAAGAGATAGATGTCATGAGGAATTCAGAAGATATTCGAATTTAAGAGAACACAAAGAATGGATGCACCTATTCTTTAAGAAGTGTAAATCACAATTCTTCTAGTTTTTAGTTAAATACTATAGTAGAGAAAAGAAGCTAAAAAAGAAACTCAGTGACAATAATTCACTGAAATGTTCAAATCAACTGACAACGTCCAAACAATAACTATTCAATATAAAACAACCGACTTACTTTAAAATAGGCTCTAACACATGTTCTGAATCCACAATACCACCTGTAATGATAACAGTGTGAAAATGTGTTGAATACACTAACATTTTTAGTTTACGAAAAAAAAGGAACAAGTAAATCAATCAATCTTGTGATTGTATCTTACATGCTTAAATTTATCGATTATTATGTTAATCTTTTTACTAATTCTAAACCGCTCTAGAATTTGCCCGGACAATAATTATCTTGCTCTATAGAATACAGCAGTGAGTGGTTAGTTAATAATAACAGAGTAAATAAAAGCCCCTGAAATGTCATAGTAGAGTTGATAGTGAGGAGAGTCTGCTCTTTTTCTCCAAGTATTCTCATACGAAAACACATATATAGTCACTGCAGGGAAAGTACTACATTTTTTGTGGCCATATTGTTTAAGTGGATGGGAGAATGAAAAGAGAACGTTCGGGTTGGTTGGTAAAGAGAATTTAATTACCGGAGTTAGAAAACCCTAATTCTAAACCAATGGTGATCATGGGCCACAGGATACTGAGGGGACAACTGGTGTACGGACAAATTGTTATTGGTCACTGTCTGCTGTAAGATCACACCATTCAACACTGCTGCACTGCAGCAGCCTCTGCAGCAGTAGGTCTCAACATACATAAAGGAAAAAGCAAAATTCTCCGATGCAACACAACATGCACCAACCAAATCACGCTTGATGGAGATGCTTTCGAGGACGTTAACAACTTTACATATCTGGGCAGCACCACCGACGAGAAATGTGGATCGGATGCAAATGTGAAGGCGCGGATTGGCAAAGCAAGGGCTGCATTTCTACAGTTGAAAAATATCTGGAACTCCAAAAAACTTTCAAACAAAACCAAAATCAGGATTTTCAATACAAATGTGAAGACAGTTCTACTGTATGGAGCGGAAACATGGAGAACTACCAAAGCCATCATCCAGAAGATACAAGTATTTATTAACAGTTGTCTACGCAAAATACTTCGTATTCGTTGGCCAGACACCATCAGC